CTCAGACAAAAATCAATTTGGCCGGAAAAAGAGACATGACTTGTTTTGGCATGAGTGAGAGTCGATCTTATGTGCGGCTTTAACGCATCGCACGTATTGCATACAAATAATGCACAGAAGTGCACCAACTTGATATACCCGGGTCTTTTCCTAAGCGCTGTTTCATTCGCTGGCTGAAGTTGCAAACCAGGTCAAACGACGCAACACAACCAGATAGAAAAAACAAGACATCCGGCTTTCTGGATTAGCAAAATTCAAAATATCCAGTTCACTAAGCTGACCTGACCCGAGGACAGCAGTACGACTGCGTTAGAGATATGCGTTTACTGATCACTGCATCCGGAAAACCATGAGGAACGGGCAATGCACTCAGATTCGTAGGATTGTAGCGACCATCAATGAAGAGGGACCAAATAGATTGCTTGACTGTACGCACGACCGACACACGGTCGGAAATTAAATCCGTTTCCTGTGGATTAATTTGTACAAAATAGCTATCCAGAAACGCCCATGGGTAAGACCACGCAAAGCCACGAAGCCGAACCACAAGATACATGAGAATTTCATTTCTATTGGTTCGCCATCCAACTATGAATGGGAAACAGGAGTTGGTCAAGAAATGCTATCAGACGCAGTCCACATGGCATTTCAAGCACAGCATAACTAAAACATTAGGTTCCAGTCCAAAGCGACTGAGTGTTTTCAACTGCTTTTTCAGTGTATTCATGCAACCACTCCTTTTGGATTACGTATAAAGGCCGAACGAAAAGGAGCTTATCAGATCACGTTTGTGAACACAATCCGGTTTGGCTTGGAGCGACCTGGAAAAATATGAGAGCCGTATGTATCTTGTTGAGTCTAATCATTCAATGGATGTGATGAGCGCGTCACCAAGTGAGCACTGAGAGCAGTCAAGTTACGCCGTGATCTTTCCCATGTTCAAATGTGTGCGCAGAAGCACTTTGAGCAAGCGCCTAAAACCCTCATGTATCGGTTTATCTTTGCCGACATGTGTGCAACTAGTCCAAGATTTGAATGTGCAACAAAGTGCACGCGCACGTCAGAAACCGTCATTCCTCCTTTGAAATTTACTGTCAATTTTACTCAGTTTTTTATGGACATAAATACGAGGACGAGCTTATTTAGCACATAGCATTACTGCCGAATTGTTGTTGTTTTGCTCTGTATATATTGTGCGTGCAGTTCGACTGCAAATAACTGCAAACGGGATCATCAACTATACCATTCAGTTAGCTCACAAGACCCAAAAATCTATCCTTGCTAATAAATCCTTTCCAATCTATTCCACTAATAAATCCTTCGAAAAATTAGTGCCATCTGTCTCTCCGCCTGTCAGTTATTCCTCAGTCTTTGCTTCTACCACCAGATCTTTTCTTCTGAAAAACTTCCAGCTTTTAGATGCTCTATAAAACATTGCGCCTGGTAATTTATAATAGACCACATTAAAACAGATGAGTAGGCTCATTTTCGGAACCTTTTGAGGACCATAATCAAGCACTCCAAAGTGTTGTGTTGGCGCATCGTCTATATTCCACTGATATCGACCTTTATCCAAACCTGATATGAGGTTATGAAAACCTTAACCTGGAGACTCAGCAATACAGGTCGAATTAGGCTTCCTAGATGAGAACCTTGGGATCAGAGTAACTGATGATTAGAAGCACCAAGTGATATGGATGTGTGATAAATAGTGTCCCTCGTGCATCTTCTCCATCAAATTACGACATTAGTCCAGCAGAATTTTCTCTTTGAAACTGCTCTCAACATTACAATCTTCCCTCTGCTCTTTTACCGGCATGAGAAGCAAAAAGATAGCAAACAAAACTGCCACACGAAGGTGCATGACTAATGTTTGTAAAAGCCAAAACTTCTTAGATTACTGCTCTCGAAGCACTGTGAGAAGACGACCGCAGCTCGCTAGTGCAAGAAACAAGACGGTATCTGGCTCAAGCCGTATGTCCAGGGACCTGACCTCCGTTTTCGGTAAATCTAACGGAATAGAACGTTTCTCCAACCATGTTTTCTAAGATTGAGTCCTACTAAATGCCTCGAATAGTTTTTTCAGCTCATTCTCCGTTTCCAATCGATTAGGTATCACTGAACTGACAGTCTACATTCAGCATAACTTCTGTTCAGTATAGAGAAATTAAAAAAGATGATAATTTAAAACGGACACGTTCAGAAAACGTTTTTCCTTTCGAATGCGTAAACTCCGACATCGAAACCAGTTATTTTAATGTTTGCTTTTTTTAATGAGTTCGCCCTTTATCGCTGTTTTCTCCGAAAATCGTTTCACGGCCTTCTAAAACGTGACCTTTCACCTCTAAACTAGAACTCAGCAATTACATGTTGCAGGTCAGCCCTCTCTCTCTCTCGCTTCCCGTGATGCTTAGTGGACCTGTTTATCAACACAGATTTTCTTTTAGCCTCTATCCACCAAAGACTCATTACGCGACGAACTTTTACCTTATTGTTACTCAGTTATTTTTCCTTGCTTACTTAAACAAGATTTCAAATTCTTACGCCGCGGTCTAACTATTATTAGTCGCGTCTCTTCTGGTCCAGTGAACAAGTTGGCTGTATCATACAACTTCCTGTGGGAAATTTGAGGGGATTCTCACAGATCCCGACCATCCACTGCACGCAGAACTGACGCGTTGTCGTTCCCATCCCTCCACACACTCTCGATTCTGTCAAAGTTCATTCCGTATAAACGCTTACCGAAATTTACCCATACCTTATCTTGCACGTTTACTCAGAAACAGAGGATAGCAAGTGAACTTCGTCTTAACAATGATTTGTGTTAAGTCCCTGCCTGCAAGCACTTTTCCCTGTTGAATATGTTCTTTGCGACGGCTGATGTGTATAGTTTTCTAACTGAAATTTAAGCTTCTGAGCTTGCGAAAAGATACACACAATACAAAAAAAGAACTGACCGGCGGGGCCCGAGCTATCCGTTTTTCCATCATCGGATCATTCATAACTGCATAACCATAATTGTCTCCGAGTTTTTTTTGCATCATTCGCATGAACTTTTACCTTGATTGCCAAGGCGACTGTTGTGCTACTACAGTTTTTGATGTTCCTGTCCTTTTTTATGTTCTTTAATTGCTGTATTATACTGTTGTTGTTTCTTTTCCACTTTTTGTTGACACAATATGGTTATGTGGTTGCTGAATATCCACCTCTCGAGGTGTATAAAGCCATTTTCCTTGACTTGATTTGACTTGACTTAACTCACGCATCCACCCCCGCGCACATTTTGGCATGCACGCAGAATAATAACCTTGTGCAAAATTCCCACGTACCCAAATTGACTTACGTTTCAACGAGAGAGATTAAAGAAACATAAGTTACTCACAAAATTTGAGAATTGCATTCCCGCACTTTTTCAGTTTATTAATAGTGTTAACGGATTACTTGCACGCTTCGATTTATAACGACCTCAGACAGCATATTTGATTGAAAAGCGAGCAGACGAACTAAGGAAATCCGCCGTACAAACCCAGACAGGCAGGCAAGATGCAGCAACCAAAACCACTACACGAGAGTGTGTGGTTAATGGTTATACAAACTGAAGTTAATGGGTCGTATCATATATGCAAAGAGAGAAAATCCGATTTATACTATCGCAATGACCGACTTTTCAAATTTGCAGTAATTTCCACAGTCTATTAGATTTCTACCCGTTTATTTAGTGACACGTGCGAATCTGTTCCACTTTCTAACGACAAACTTTAGGCAGAGT